CCTGAAGTGTCCTCCTGGTGACCCAAAAGGTGGTGGGCAGATCTGGGAAATACTGGAAGTCATATCAGCAGTTTCATGAATTACTAGATGTTGAAGTGGGCGTGGGAGGCAAGGGGGGATGCCACTGATGACTCCTGAGTTCTAGTTTGGGTGATTGACTGGTGGACAGAGGAGCAAGTTAAAGGGAGAACATTCTGGACCCATGGAGCTTGAATTGCCTGTGTGATACCTAGGCAGTGATCTCTGGCAGGTGAAGAGCACGCAGATGGTGGGAAGAGCCCGGGCTACTTTATGGGAGTGAACTGAAACCATGTATGAGTGGTTGAGACTCCCGGGCAGAGCAGAGGACCATGAAGAGCAGTGAGGCAAGGGTGGAATTCTGGAAGGAGTGGTCACATGGGTTACGAAGATAGAGCCAGAAACCCCACCACTCTGGGCGGAGGGGAGGCGGGGGTCAGATTACCAATTAAGAGGTCATAGCAGCAAGAACATTTTCACTGGACAATGGGAACAGAAGTCAGATGGCAGCAAGCTGAGGAACGAATCCAAAGTGAAGGACAAAGGCAGGCAGTAATTTCCAAGAAGTGTAGAACCAGAGTGGGTCACATGCTGGGATAGAGGTTCAGGCAGCACACAGAATAAGGGTTTATCCCAGAATCACTGGGTTGGTTTCTTGACAATAAGATGATCTGTTGACCTTATTAATGTAAACAATGGTGAGTCTACAGTGCAAATCATCTTCATTCAGGCTGAAGAAAATTGTCTGCAAATTGTGGATGAACTCATGGCAAAGCGGCAGCAACTTAAGGACGTATTTGTCACTCAGAATGCCAACGCTGAGAAGGTCCAAGCTCAGCTGGAAGAAGAACGGAAGAAATTTTTGGCTATTGATAGGTAATTCAGTGTATCAGTTTGAAGGACCATAACCAGAATTTTAAAGACGTTTATTACCAATTTGAAATTTATTGTAGGAAGTTTTGTTATTTGAGTATGTACCCTTGGTGCTTTTAGTCCCACATCACACCTTTCAAGTGTTCTCGTTTGGAGGAAAACCAAAAGAGGCGATTAGTTCTTTAGAGTGAATAGTACTCTTTGGCAGAAGAAAACATGGACATGTATGAAGAGTCCCTTACCCTAAATCCCTCGGACACTGCTGTACCAGGCCCCTCTCTAGTCCGCCTGTGGGACAAAGCCTGGCGGGGCGGGGTGGGGGTGAGATCTGGAGCCAGTCTGTGTGGTTGCATACCCCAGTTCTACTGCTTACATACTATGCCTTCATTTCCTCCTCTAGTAAATAGTAACATGGGGATACTCCTAGTGCCTTCCTCCCAGGAGAGGTGTAAGGATTAAATGAGGGACTGTTCATATGACACTTAGAACGGTACCTGGCATGTGATAAGCCTGTGTTTCTGTCATGATGGGGACAAAGACACTTGGAATCAGGCAGCCTGCTGTACCACAGTGACCTCTGCTTTCCTGTATGATTGGACATGACCGTAAGCAATCACATGAAATGTGCTCTGGTTTGGTCAACTCTTGGCATTTCATGGTTTTCCTCACTGGTTAAAGACTTTCAGCATTTCAGGACAGAGTCAGAAAGTTCTTCGTCTAAGATTTTCGAGTGGAATTAAAGTTCATTTACTCCTGAGTTTTTTTTCACTCTTGTATTTAGTATAAACAGAACTACATCTCTGTTCATCATTGTATTTTTGAAAACCATATACTTCTTAATTTATTTTTGGTCCTATTTCTAGGTCCTCTTTAAAATCCCACATTGTTTTAACTGGTAAAACCCCCAAGCCCTCATTCATTTAAGATAGAGGGCATTATATTAATAGTGGCTGTAGTAAAAAGAAAAGTTCAGACCATTAGATACGTAATGACTTAACTGGTAAGACATTTCTCTTATTAAAAGGTTGTTTCTCTTATTTTGAGATTCTAAAATGTAGAGCTCATATTGAGGAAGAAATGCAGCTTGAAAAATTATATAGATTTTAAAACAACGTAGGACACAAAGCTAGCCTGATTAAAGTAATTGTTTATTTAAAAAATGCTCCCTAGGATTAACTAATTACATTCATGGCCTTTCTCAAGAAAGTTAAAGTTTATATTATAAGCATCAGTGAGGTAACTCTAGAATTTATAGAACTCATAGGAAAAAATCTTTTTTCCATGTGAGTTTATAACACATTCATTTTTCTTCTTTGGTGCAACTTTACATGAGTAAAGTATCACTTTTCATATCTGTGTATTTACAGGGAAGCGGGAAAATGGCAAAAAGAAGTTGTAATCATTCAAACTTCTTTGGAACAGAAACGGCTAGAGAAGCATAATCTGCTGCTTGATTGCAAAGTTCAAGACATTGAAATAATCCTTTTGTTGGGATCACTGGATGACATCATTGAAGTGGAGGTATTCTACCTCAGGATTTCAAAATAAGTGCAGTCGTGGGGAACTTTATGTGATGCCCTTTGGCTGCTTAGTGAAGTCCCAGGTCTGCAGACGCTTCCCCTGGGCCTAAAGCTCCGTTAGGAGTGGAGAAGGCATCTCCTCCTCCCACGATCGTCATTGCAGAGGACTGGGTATTTCGTGCAGTTCTGTCTCTTGCTGATCCATGTCCTTTTAGCGTCACAGGATGGGCTGGAGTTTCTTTCCTACACATTAGATCCCAAGAGGAATCAGAGAATTCGAGCTGTTGGCGTCAGTGACCTTTGGGGCTGGTGTTAGGGAAGCAGCTGCTGTGCACTTCGGAAAGAGCATCTTCCCATTAGCCCATCCACAGCCAGTGACAGAAGGGTTTGTCCTGCCTCTCAGGTCATCTCTGAGCTCTTCCCCGGGGTCTCCCTTCCACATCCCTCCTCCCCTCTCTGCTCTGCCCCAGCAGACAGACAGCTACTCTGTTCCATCTATCCCCCACCCCAGAAGTGCCCTGAGTCCTTTGGATTCTTCAGAGTGAAGCATCTACAAAATATAAAATACTTCTTCTCTTGCCAACGTTGACCAGATCTCATAACTTTACACTCAAAAAGTCTTTGTCTTTTTTCTCAATTGTAGCAGAGGTCACATTGCAGAAAGAGGTAAGGAAGGGAGAAAACCCTTTCCTGGCCACAAGAGACTAAACCCAACTCAGATGGCTTTAAAGGGAGTAAAGGGATAGGGCTGTAGGGGGGTGGGATAGGGAGAGGGGGCGGTCTCATGCTGGACTCAGTCCAGGAATTCGAACACCGTCAAGAACTCTTTCTGGCTCAGTATATATTGGCTTTATTCTCCCAAATCGGCTTTCCCCACAAGGCTGCAGCTACAACCACTAGCTTTGACCAGAGGAAAGAGAACTCTCCCCTGCGCTCTCTGTTAGGGAATTCTGGGTCAGAGAGAGAAGGGAGGGGTCTGTGAACAGCAGAAATAGATGGGAGCAAAGAAACAATAGTTATTATACTATCGAAATAGAACGTGTTTATAAAAGGCAATGTAATTTTAGAAGAGGTTACAGAGAGGAGGAAGCAATTTTAATGGCTGACACTGAAGTGAGTGTTACTGGTCAAGTATTCATGCTGCTGCTTTGTTCCTATTGCTTTCAGTTAGTGAACCTTCAGAATTGTCCCCCAGCATGCCCCTATGAATGTCAAATGACTTCACTGGCTTGAAAGAATTTCATACTCGTGGTGGGGTATTTCAGAGCAGGTATCAAAGGCTTTAAGCTGGACTAATACTGAATCATTATCTAAAAAGAAAAAATGATAGTTCTGCTCTACTTTGTGCTGGTCAGGCCAAATGGAATATTATGTTCACTTTTTAAAGCTTGATGCTTCTTAAGAGTAAAGCATTCAGCATAGCAAAAAGGCCCAGACCGTGTTGTGCTGGGAAGAGAAGACTCGGGGAATACAATCATTCTCCTCCATTAGAAGACAATCTATCACAGGAGGAGGATCACATTTGTTCTTTCTGGTCCCAAGGGGGATACAGGGTTAGGGAGTAGAGGCCACAGAGACAGATTTCTGCTCCTAGGGAACACTTGCTACCAGAAAGATGGAGGGCCTTTAGTGGTGAGTTCCCTGATTGGAATTTTGTAAGCACATCTAGAAGTGGCTATGTAATGGGGATGCTATACAAGATGTTCTCCATAAAGCCTGAAACAGAAAAGGCATGAGGTCTAAATTCTCTCTCTCCAGAGGGCTGAACAAGGATTACTGGGTAGAAATAATTACAATAATCATTATAGGAGTACTTGTCTTACTGTAATTGGTAGGTGGGACCTGAGATTTTCCTTCCACTGGAAGGAAAGTGTGTGCTCTCTCAAAATCTTTTTTTTTTTTAAGATTTTATTTATTCATTTGAGAGAGAGAGAGAGCACAAGCAGGGGGAGAGGGAGAGAGAGAAGCAGGGGCTCCCTGCCAAGCCGGGAGCTCGACATGGGGCTCGATCCCAGGACCTAGAGATCATGACCTGAGCCGAGGGCAGATGCTTAACCATCTGAGCCACCCAGGCACCCCTCAAATAAATAAAATCTTAAAAAAAAAAAAAAAAAGGTATGTTACCTAGATCTGCCAGGTCTTCTTGTAGAAGATTCTTCTGTTGTGGGAGAGACTATACTAGATTACTAGTTCTGAACTCATACTGTGCGCATGGAAGTACCTGGGGATCTTGTTGCCAGATCATGGCCTTGGACGCCCCAGTAAGGAGTGAGGTGGGAATCAACTGGAAGGCTTGGGCAGATGGATGAGATCACCATTTCATATAACAAAGAAAGGGCTTCATCTGTGTTTCAGTTGGGAACTGAAGCAGAAGATACCCAGGTGACAGTTGACATCTATGAGAGGGAAGCAGCCATCGAGATAGACTACAGCTCTCTAAGAGACGATCTGAAGGTAATCCAAAGATTTCTGTTAGGACTAACTCACTGTGATAGTGAATATTTAAATATACTACAGAATACTTTTTAGACCATAGAGCCTACGTTTAGGGGAAAAAAGTAGATTGCCTAATGGTTTTTGAAGAAATGGTTTAAGTAGGTGGCTTTTTAAAAATGTTTAGATCAGCATTTCTCACTGTGTGTTCGGAAGAACATGAGTATCGTGAAATTTCTTCCCAAAGAAGAAAAGCTTCTGTGGTCAGCCAGTTTTTTGGAGGGCTGTCTCCTTGAAGATGCACAATGATTATTAGTCTCTGAGAAATCCTGCAAGAGACAGAAGTAGCCACCATGCTCCAGCGTCCTGGCTTCTGCCCGTCAGGGTTCCGCTGTGGCCCCTGCATTCACAGCTGCAGGGTACACACCTGGGATGCAGTTTCAAGGGCTCTTTAATTGAGCAGCTCTAGCTCTGCGTCACAGGCACCCCTATAAGCCATACTACAATGCTGTGTTTCTTTCTGTTTTGACTCCATCCTGACTAGCCTTTCATCAAGCAGGGACCCCCACCCCACCCCACCCCCAGCTACAGGGGACGCTTGAGGGAGAAATGGTTAAACATGGGCTCTGTGAGAAAGGAGGGAGTAGAGAGCAGACGCCAAGTAGCAATACCCACATCTTTTAATTTCACACGTTCTTAATATATGTTGTGAGATTCATTGGGCTCTTGGATTTTATTTATGCTATTTTGAGGCAATGAGAAAAAAGCTTTTGTCTCTTCTATAGTCTATTTAATGCTTTCATTTTAGAAAATCCTTCCCCACCTTATTACTGAGTAAATATTTATAAATATTCTTCCTGTTCCTGGTTTTGCTTTCATTACCTATTTAATTCATCTGAAATTTATTTTGGCATATGGTATAAGGTAAGAATCTGTTTTTAAAAAGTGACCTAAGTTAGCCCATTTACGCAACATGTTTCAAGTAATTCTCTTCTCAGGGACTTAAAACGTCACCTTTATCATATATAAATTAAAGATCCTGGGAGGACAAGAACGCTTTCCTGGAAGGTTGCCCTTCCCTCCTCATTCAAGCTCTATCCACTGTTCTGGTTTCAGCTTCAGTGCTGCCCCTCCCTCCCACCCCCGAAGTTGGGTCCCTTCTCTCTGCCTCGCAGCACCTGTGGTTGGTGTTCAGAGCGTATTCGCACTGTTGTCAATGCCAGTGTGTGGGTCTGACTTCCCTGTGAGATCTTTAAGGGCAAGGCCAGAACCGTTTTTTTTTTTTTTTAAGGTTTTACTTATTTATTCATGAGAGACAGAGAGAGAAGCAGAGGCAGAGGGAGAAGCAGGCTCCCCGCAGAGCAGGGAGCCCGATGCGGGACTCAATCCCAGGACCCTGGGATCATGACCTGAGCCGAAGGCAGACGCTTAACCGACTGAGCCACCCAGGCGTCCCAGGCCAGAACAGTTTTCATCACTGAATGCCTAATACATAGTAAACAATCAGTATTTTGTAATGAATAAGTGAAGGTAGTATGTGAATTGAGGAATTCTTTTTAGCCAGATGAGGAAGTACGGAAGGGATGCGGGTTCCAGGAGAGCAGGGTCTCTAACACTAGAGCCGTGGATGAGCACAGCCGGCTCCAGAAGCTAGGGATAGCGCAGCCTGCTGGCATTTCAGACTCAGAGGGGTTCGAGGGAGGGAAGGCATGTTTGTGGAGGGAGGGAGGGAGCAGCGGCCCGATCCTGAAGGGCCCTGTGCCTAATTACTCAACAGTTTGGAAAGGCAAGCTATCATTGCTGTTCTTTACCCAATAATAGGCTCTACAAACTGATAAGGAAGTGGAGACCCACCTGAGACTCCTGCTGCAACAGGTGGCATCCCAGGAAGACATCCTCTTGAAGACTGCGGCCCCAAACCTGAGAGCCCTGGAGAACCTAAAGACAGTCAGAGACAGGTTTCAGGAGTCCACAGATGGTGAGCCTGGGCTATAGTTGTCAGCAAGGCCATATTCCTGGGTGTGGCGGGCTTGGATTTCTGTAACACCAGCAATCCCCCCTGGATTGTAGCTTTATTTTTATGTAGCTTTTTATTTATTTGTATCATATATTTTCCTCTGTTTTATATTAATGTGCATTTTTAATACTAATTGCTTCCTTTTTGAAAGTGTTCTGCTTTAACTCAAAAACCGGTTTATTATTTTTTTAAATTTATTTGAGAGAGAGAGAGAGTGCGCGCCGCCCCCCCCCCCCCCATGCAGGGCTCAATCTCATGACCCTGAAATCACAACCTGAGCAGAAACCCAAGAGTCAGACGCTCAACCGAGCCACCCAGGTGCTCCAGGTGTATTGGTTATTTTAGAACAGATATTTTTTTATACCAGCAGGATGGTCATATTAGATACTCTTTCAGAATTTGTCATTATCTTAAAATTAGCCCTACTAGAAAAATGGCTCATCAATTTTAAGAGCCATGTTCTTGGAATTAATAACAATTGATGTATTTTAAAGGTAGACTGTACTCAAGACAACCAAATTCAAAATCCAGTTTTTAAAATACTCTACGCTTTTGGGATGCCTAGGTGGCTCAGTCTGTTAAGCACCTGCCTTCGGCTCAGGTTATGATCCCAAGGGTCCTGGGATCGAGTCCCACATCGGGCTCCCTGCTTAGCTTCTCCCTCTGCCTGCCGCTCCCCCTGCTTGTGCTCTCTCTCCCTCAAACAAAATCTTAACAAAAAATTAATAATATTCTGTGCTTTAAAGTTGAAATAAGAGGAGCCAGCCCCTAAGTGGTCTGCAAAATAAAGAACACTGATTTTCTCTTAGCTTTTGAGGCCAGCAGAAAGGAAGCCAGAATGTGTAGGCAAGAGTTTGAACAGGTGAAAAAAAGGAGATACGACCTTTTCAGCCAGTGTTTTGAGCACGTCTCGATCTCAATTGATCAAATCTACAAGAAGCTCTGCAGAAACGTCAGTGCCCAAGTATGTATTTTTCACCCCCAGATATTACTGGGAACTTTGTGTTGGTGGTAGTTGTTTTTGGTGGGAAATAAATGTGTCACATTATCTGAGTGACCCACTTCTGGAGCAAAGTCAGTCCAGAAGATTGGTTACCATCGTAACTGGGTGTGTTCTAGATCCCACTCACTCTACCACTGGCCAGCCTGGACAAGGCAGAACCTCTCTGGGCCTGTCTCTTCATCTGAAAAATGAGGGGATTGGTCATTTAGTTTCCAGATTCTCTTCAGTTCTGGAATTCTGCTCTCTGGTGCTAATTTGATTTTATGGAATGGTCAGTGGTCTCTGTAGTGAAGGTACCTGTAATGTAGAGGGTCTTGGGAAATGGCTGACCTGGGATCAGGAGAAGGAAAGAACCAAAGGCAGGATTGTGTTGATAGTCTCTTTGCTAGAACCCTTGCCCGATCCTCAGTCAGTCCCCATGGCAGATCCTGTGGTGCTGAATGTGGACTCAAGATGTCGATCAGGTCTTCCACATCTGCTTTTACCTTTCTCGTGGTGTTCTTTTATGGCTGAAAGTTGATCCTGGATCAGATATTGAGAATTTTAGCCAAAAATAGTTATTTTCAGTAAAGACTGAAATAAACCCAGTAACTCCTTAAAGGCAGGATTCATCTCTGTAGCCACAGTACCTGGCCCACAGCAGGTATTCAGTAAGTGGCTGGTGAATGGGCCACCGAGTGGGCTGCCTGAAGACTGTTTTTGTCAGACGGTGGTACGTGCTGCCTACGTCTGCCTGGCAGGCCTGTGGGGAGGCCTGATCCTTTGTGTGTGTTAGGGTGTTTTCCCTCTGCTCCCCACCCAGACAGCCCTGTTTCCTGTGACCACACTGTAGAGCCAGCTATGTACATTATCTGCAGGCATCTGTATTTTGCCATCACAATGGAGGAAAACCTAACCAACAGAATATCTTGCAGTTAAACTCTATTGCAGTTTCCAAAGTTGAAATTTACTAATTGCTTTTCTGATTTTGCTGAGTAAATAACCTGTGTTTCAGGCGTTTCTTAGCCCAGAGAACCCAGAAGAGCCTTACCTAGAGGGAATTAGCTATAACTGCGTGGCTCCAGGCAAACGGTTCATGCCAATGGACAATCTGTCAGGGGGAGAAAGGTGTGTGGCTGCATTAGCCCTCCTGTTCGCCGTGCACAGGTAAGACCATGGCGAGCTATCTGATTTTGCATCAGGGCAGAACCCAAACGGACCCTCCTACAAAAGACCCGTTTTAGCATATGTGATACAGAACTGTTTTCTTTAGCCAGACAATATTTGGGTTCTATTTCTAGGCCTATAATAATTTAGACTGCAAATCTAACACACAATTCAGTCTTAGATTTTCATTAATTTTCTATAATTACCAGTAGCTACTAATATTCCAGCTTTACAGAAAAGAAAGAAAGAAAAGAAATACTGGAATGGCCACATATGACATCAGGATTGCCAACAGTTAACAACAACAAACCCAAACAGAACAAAAACTCCCGACCTTTGTATTATTTTCTTAGTGCCTATTCACAGACCTGTGTTTATGTAAAGAATGTTAAGTGAAGTATTTCTTCTGAAAAAATGTTTGACCTCATTTCCAATGGTGGCAGTTGAAGTAAATCAAGAAAACGTAAGCTAAAATTAGGGCAACTGACTTTCAACATGCAAATCCTTAGATGAAGATCTAGGTGCACATGATGCAGCCTCTCTGCTTTCGTGACCAGGAAGATCAGCCTAGGTTCTCCAGCTGCTTTTTACTGCTCCCAAGGATAAAGAAGAGGCCATTACAGGAGAGGAACAGGAAATAGCATTGCCAGCAGACTCTGGGGAGAGCAGGCCGCAGGAATCGAACCACGAGTCTGTGCTGAGCAAGTCTCAGCAGAACAGGACTAGTACCAGGTGTCACTGCCATCCATTTATTCAGCAGATATTACATATCTACTGTGTGTCCGGGGCTGCCGGTGTAGGCTTTGGAGAGACAGCAGTGAACAAAACAAAATCTTTGCCTCAGAGACTTCATTTTTATTGGGGAAGACAAATGAGAAGGTATATTAGTAAACTAAATTCTCTAACATATAGACTATCAGGAAATGACAGATGCTACAGAGAAAAAAAAGTAGGGAATGGAGATCATAAGTAGCAGTAGCAGGGTAGGGTTTGCAGTATTAAAGACTCACCTGGGAAGGCCTACTTGAGAAGGCAACATTTGAGCAAAGATTTGAAGGAATGAAGGGAGTAAGTCTTGCAGATAGCTAAGAGAAGAATGTTCTAGACATGGAGAACAGCAAGTGCAAGGGTCCTGAGGCCAGAGAGAGCCTGGCATCTGTAGTGAACAGACTGTATACAACAGTGGCAGGCACAGGGCTGGGGAACTATTGTAACAATCAAGGTGGAAGATGAGGGTGGGCTGGACCAGGGTGAGAGCAGAGGCTGAGCAGACAAGGTGTGGGGTGTGAAGGAGGCAGCAGGATGACCCCTAATCAACTAGAGTGGGAAGACCCCTGGAGGGAGTAGTTCTGGAGTGGAAGGTGAGGAGCGGGATCTTGGATGACCTTGAGCTGTTTATTAGACACCCACATGGAGCTGTCGAGTAAGCTGCTGGACAAGGGAGGCAAGTGTGGGAGCCCTCAAGACATGGATGATATTGAAACCCTGAGAAGAGATGAAATCACCAGGGGAACTAATTAGTGTGTAAGCACTGCACCCCAAGGGCACTGCACTGAGAGGAGTTGGTGGAAGAGATGAAAGGAGTGGTGGGTCAGGTGAGGGGAGCAGACGGTCATCCTTGATGTCAGAGCCACAGGCCGGGGGCAACCCCAAATGCCACCTGCAGTGGTCACGGGGGACACGGACTGAACATTGCACATTGGGATCATTGGTGACTGAGGCTAAAGCATTCAAGATGATGTATCTTATTTACCCCGAATACTGTTAATCCTAATAGAAAGCTGTAACTTACTGGAGTGTAACTTTTTTTCTAGTTTTCGGCCTGCTCCATTCTTTGTGTTAGATGAAGTGGATGCAGCTCTGGACAACACGAACATTGGCAAGGTCAGTTTCTTTCTGCTTTGAATTTCTAGTAGATCACTTACAACTCGAGGATCATGTTCTGGTCAGAAAGACAGTTTACCCTGAACACACACAGTTTGTTGGATAATTGCTGATTAAAAGTCAAATCTAAGTTAAATATCTGAAAATTTGGGGCAGTTTTCATTCGAGGTTTAGGGGATCCTCAATGAATTATTAGGGAATCAGGATAGGAGTCAGGTGAGGATTGTTTTACTGAATCCACAGCACTGCTAGTGGGTAACTTGTCCCCAGATCTAGATTTTGGGACCTAGAGGGTCACCAAGAGGCCCGGTGGCAAATAGGACCAAATCAGTTGTTTAATAAAGTCTAAAAATAACACTTCTAAATAAAATTCCAAAGAAATTAAAGTTCAAACTTCTGCCCCCCCCCCCACATTTATTAAAATTAATCCGATTGTTGCACTTCATGATCCTATTTCTCAGTATTTGAGACGAGGGAACTAAGGAAACAAACAGTTTAACTCTTGGGAGTTCAAGTTAAGGTCAGCCTTCAAGATGAGAGCATAGATCTAAAAAGCCCCCTGAAAGAGGACACTGAAGCCACATATCGCCACTGTGACTTTCTGACATGAGAACGGAGTCGGCCATGGAGGCCTGACCAAAGGCCGCGGAGTCCATCACTGGCAGTACCTGGCCCATGGCTGCCGAGGGACGGGACAGCTGCAGCCCACGGACTCTGGTGTCATGGTCCTACTGCCAGAGCCGTCGTTTTGGAGATGGATGAATCAGACTCCTGGTTCCGATTCCAGGCACAGTGGAAGCTGGCATCCTGCTATACACTTAGTCTTGTGAGCTTGGCTAAGGAGTCCTTCTCAGAGCGGTGTCTTCAGTTCTCAGTGCCACCCTGGCAGGCTGAGTCTCCGAAGCTGGCCCGCCTGCTTTCTCAGTCGGCTGAGTCTGCTGGGAGGGGCCGGAGCTGTAGCTGAGGGGCCTGTCTTCTTTCAGCGCATCCCGAGCTGTCCTCCTCTGACCCTTCCTGCACAGGGCACCGAGTGCCTAAGGACAGCCTGTCAGCTTCCACAGTCCCAAAATGTAGAAAGCTGATCCCCAGTCCCTTGAACCTTGTGGAGGACAGCAAGAGCCACCTTCTGGGACCTGCCAGATTTCAGAGTAACCAGGGAAGGAAGACGTGGGAGCAACAGAAAATCTGTTGTCTTTGAATGCCAGCCGAGGTGCATTGGCTAATGGGACTTGATGGCCTGACTCATTTGGGAGAAATCTCCCTTGAAGAGGTGACTTTAGGTACTTTGTACCCACGTTCTGTATGTTGGGGTGGGGCTCTATTTTTGTGGACTGTGTTTTTTAAGGCATCTGTGTCTTCTAGCAAAATTTAGATGTTTGTATTACCACCATCTCCAGAGACTCTTACTTAAGACTCTTCTGTTGGCACCCATCCTATGTATGAAAATCCTTTTAACTTCCAGTCTTCCCTTGAAATTTACCCTCCTGGCCACTCCACTGCCCTACTGAGCATGAGCGAATAGAGGAGGACCAAACCCAAAGTAGCTCCCACTCTGTCCCGTGCTCAGGGTGCCCCATTTACCTTACCACAGGTAACACTCCAAGCCAAATGCGTCCCTTCTGCCTCACCTTCCATTCTTGACAGCATCCTAGGACTTCACAGTCCTGCATCCTAGTGGCCACCATGGCCTCGAACGCCAGATGGAGTTCCTTCTGCCTGTGGATCCAAGCCTCTTGGCCAAGGGCACTTTCCCCTCTTCATCACTCACCTGAGCTAGTGACTTGCTCCCCACCCAGGGCTGCCGTACCTGCTTCCAGAGCTGCGTCCTTACCGCCCTGGTGCAGTCGGGACCGATGCAGACAGAGAAGAGCCCTTCTGGCCCCTTACCCCAGCTGGAAGTTGGCAGACGTTTTGTGAAACTGTGGCCAAGTTCTTCCCTATGTTTCTCTGGGTTCCGAGCAGTTTGTTCAACAAGACTCATTTCTCTCCAGAGTCCATTTTGTTCTTATATTCTCATGCCTTGGATTCGAGCTTCCTGAAGGAGCCACTGAGTTCAACTTTAACCAAATAATTAGATTATGGTTATGAATACATATATAATGCCATTTTCCCCACTTCTGGCTTTAAGTTAGCAAAACAGGAAATTGGAAGTTTAAATACCAGTCTGTCCTTTCCCACATAGTGTCTGAGTGGCAGTTTTTATCTTGTTATGAAAGCTGATTGCATTTTCACCTGACGGTATCTTAAGTTAGAGCTCTGTTCTTAAAAACATTCTTAAAGTTTTAGATGCTAGATTTAGTAAGATTTACAACTTTTTTACTAACCTTTTTAGAATCTGAATTATTTCCATTTCTGCAGTTACAGTGGATTTACTGAGTTACCAGAAAGGCAAGTGCCTTATCACCTCCCATGGGCAAAGCCGGAGACAGGCCCAGTCACCGTCCAGGGGCCCAGCAACGAGGCCTTTCCCTGCTGGTGAAACGTGGGCTTTG